ACCTCAAGGAGTAGTCAGTAACTTTTTGAAAGCAGCCAGTACTTGGCATCAGCCAAGTCTCAATCACTAGTATTCATTACTTCTTATGAGGGCGCTTATCCTAAAATCCACATCTTTTCTAAAAATACTTTGCAAAGAAAGTATGCTTTTCTTTTTCCTTTTCATTCATTTCCTATTGTTTTATTTTATATTTGTTTTTAAGATTAGAAATTCATCTTTTCTAAAACTTCAAAGATTTTATAGACAGCTGCTACAGAAGTAGACATAATAAAGTTCAGACACCATAAACCGTGCTAACATTTTTGGAGTTTTAATTTACCCTGCACACTACTAGAGCTTTTAAATACTTAAGATACCTAAGTGATATTTGCTATATTACAAACCACAAAACATCTTTTTGAATGGAATTTACAACTATTAATAATACAGTTTGTACTACTGAGTGAACTGCTCAGCTGAGGATTTTGTAGAAATACAGTCTGACACTTTGCTAATGACATCACCTAGGAAAAAAAAAATGAAAGCAGTTATGTTTTCTTGGTAAATATGTTTATCATCTATGCATCAGGGAGAAAAAAAAAAAAAGGAAAAAAAAAAAAAAAAAGAAAGAAAGACTTAAAACAGAAAGACAGCACTGGCATGTGAGGAAATAGGTCTAATAACTTGGTTGAGAATAGTCCTGGAATTAAGGACTGTCACCAGTAATTACAGCACTGACAGAATTTTGTTCCAGTGCCTGCCATGGGAGCAGAAAATGTACCTGCCTCCAAGGTGAAGTTACACAGACTTGAGGAAGATGTGCTGCACTACACATGCCTGAAAAAGGATTATATGTCATCATCGTTCGTTCCAATAATGCTTCTAAGTGCTAATGGAGATCACATACCAATTTCCAGTGTTATCTTCTCAGCAACAGTTTATGCACATCTAGGAGTATAAAATAAGCGCAGGAGCTTAAAGGAATGAACTCAAAGGCTGTGTAGCAGGTGAACTACAGGCAGGACATAGCTTTGGGCTTGGTATGAGGAGTGAAAAGAAAAAAGGAGAAAAACAAAACAAAGCAAAAATAACATAACCACTTCTCTTTGATTTTTTACTTAGTTGTGGGTCATTGGTTCACCTTCTGTTCACATTAGCTAATGACATTTTTTCTCCTCCATTCTAGTTAATTCTTTACCAGTATTTGTAGGGAAACAACTCATCTAGCCTAACATATTACTGTATCTGCTGAACAAGTTCTGGTTATGTTTACTAAAATGTTTACTTATTATGTTATTGTGATAATTTCTTTTTAATTCTTTCAGCTATCACTGCCTTACACTAGCTTGTGGTCTGCAATGTAATTCTCTAATTTTGCTTCTGCCAGGGTGACAGATCAGGAAACACTCCAGTTGCTTGCCTATTCATAACAGTTCTATTTATATGTCTTCAAAGAGCATTTACTTTATCTGTGCTAGAATCACATTGCATGCTAGTTTTCCATTTAGCAACTTACCACCTCAGAAGCAGAGCATTTTAAGTAGTGCTCTCTGCTAACTGACAATGCTTTCATGCACTTGACACACTTTCTCTCTCTTTTCCCCAAATAAAGCCCATTTATCCTAATCAAACCACTAGCTATTGATTTCTGTCCATTCCTTATAACCTCCCTGCATCTGGCATACATGAAGCATTTTCAGGTTTCCTCCTCTTCATACGCTCAGCACTGAGTACAGCACAGAGCAAGCTCATGTGCCCTCTAAAAGTGCATGAATATTCTCAGAACAGAACAGGTGCTCCCCCTGCCTCATGCAGAGCTCAGCCCACCTGGAAAACACCGTCTGTCTCCTGCTACGCCGGCTCACAGATTTTCCAGGAACATTCCACCAGCCCCTGCAAAGAGGTTACTACGGAGAAGTGGTGGGGCATTTAATGCGGTAATATAGCTTTTCAGACAGAACCTTATCAAAATTAACAAGCCAAAAACATGAAAACAAAAATAAAGCACACAGGGTTGTTTTTTTCTTTCTTTCTTTCTTTCTTTCTTTCTTTCTTTCTTTCTTTCTTTCTTTCTTTCTTTCTTTCTTTCT